GGTCTCTTCGGCATTACGTGGATGAGGACGTGCGGCGAACAAAAAGCTATGTGTGCGGGGAGAAAAAGTCGGTAAACTATCTCGCTCTTTCTCTCTCTCCCTCAAGAGAGAGAGAGAGAGAGAGAGAGAGAGAGAGAGAGAGAGAGAGAGAGAGAGAGAGAGAGCACTCTCTCTCTCCCTCCCTTGAGGAAGAGAAAAAGAAAGAGAGAGAGAGGGCATTAGCGAGAGAGAGAGAAAGAAAGAGAGAGGGCATTAGTGTGGAGTATATCACTTAGGTACATGTATGTGAGTGTGCGAGAGGGAGAAGAAGAGGAATAATAAAAAAAAAAGGAACGATCCTCTATACTCGAAAGAGGGTGAAAGAAGAGGGCTGGCGGCGGCCGGAGGGGCATCTATCTATCAGCGCCGGCGTGAAGTGGGCGTTGCGCATGCGCTGTATTGCCCTGGTAAAAAGCCGCTCTCTCATTAACTCGGTCGCCGCCGTTGTTGCCGCGGTCAAGCCACAGCAGCGACGCATGCTCCAGAGAAGTGTTATCAGCAAACTATATTCACAACACTTAATGGCACCGAATGTTGAGCTAGGTCTTCACTTCCAATGATTGATTTCTCCTCTATTGGGAGAGGAAGATTCCTCTAAAAATAACTCTATCCCAACTGCCACTATACTACCGAACAAGTATCATGGAATCTACTTTTATTGCATTTCTGTAATTTCCACTATTATTGCGGTATTATTATTGGTGCTATACTACTGCTGGTGATACTATTATTGTTGGTGGTTGATATCACTGTTAGTGGTACTAATACTATTATTATTGATTGGTACTCGATACTAGTAATACTATTATTGTTGGTAGTTAATACTATTGCAACAAATACTATTTATTAAAATACGATTGAGTGATAGAATTATCTCTATTCCTAATACTGATGGTATCCTATTACCATCCTATTACTGATGGTACTTAACCTTTAGAGGGCCGGGATAAAAAGATTCGTCAAAATAAATGGTGTCCACCCTTTATTTTGACGAATCTTTTTATCGAATTGACTTCTTATTTAATTTTTTTAAATAAAAAACTACTAAAATTTGTGCAAATTTACCGGCCTCCTAAAGGTTACAAAAAAGTACGGATAAGTACTTATAGACTCAAAGCGAAGAATTTTAGAAGAAGTCTTTTCAACAAATTTGTAGACTCATTGGCTATAGTGCAAAAGAGAGTTCTCTTCAATTTTTGAATTTTTGGTAAAAATTTCTTTCTATACCACTAGGATAATATTTAATATTTAGATAAGTTCTGTAAAAACATTATTCTTTATTAGATGATTTCTTTAAAAACATTATTCTTTATTAGATGATATCTTTAAAAACACTACTCCTTTATTAGATACGATTTCTTTAAAAACATGATTCACAGATGAGTTCTGTGAAAACATTCTTTATGATCTTGATGATGTATGAATAAGAAATTGCAACAAGCAAAAAAGGTGTTGGAAAAATATTTGAGGAACACCTGAAAATGATGAAATATTTGGAAGGCTCGTGAATTTTTTTTTTTTTTAGGATAATGTAAATAAAGGAAAGGTGTGAGGGTTATGATATTAGAGAGAGAATAAGAATGGGTGTGCGCGATAATTCATCTGAGAATAAGGAGAACATGGTATTTGTTATAACTATACGCGCGAGAGTTTGTGGTCGTGAGAGATGATGACTCAGCTAGATTTCTTGTCGTGGATTAACATAGACAGGTGATGATTTGGGGAGGATCTGCCTTTTACCATCTTAGATATAGTGAACCATCAGCCTCTCACTCTCTCGAGTGGGTATATTATAAACTAACACTCCCCGGCTAATCAAAATTCAAAAATAATGCTTATAGTGCTTTCTTTTCTGTTCTGTTGTCTTTTTAAGCTCATACATATGCATATAGATTAGAAGATATATTTAAGAAGGTCTGAAGAAACTATAGAAGAAACTTTTTCTAAATTTTGAGCTTAAGCGAATAAAAGAACATTCAAAATTTTTAAATTTCGCGAAAGCTCAAAATTTTAAGGAAAGGAAACCTGGAAAACCTGGAAATGTCAGGGAATTTTATAAACCTTGAAAAAACCTGGAAAAGTCAGGGAATTTTGATTGGAATCCTGGAAAATTATTGTTTTCTAAAGTTATTGTGCTTATTCTTGAAATCTAATTTTTCTTTAATTAAATTTTCTTAATTCAAATTTTTTAATACAATTTTAAAAGAGTTGCCTTTACAATTTTTCTTCGCAATAATTCAATTATTTTCATAAATAATCAAATCTATACAGAGATTAAATTATTTTCATAAATAATCAAATTTTTTACAGACATTCAATTATTTTCATTAATAATAAAGAATTTATAGATTTACAATTATTTTCATAAATAATAAAACTCATTGCAAAATTTCAATTATTTTTAATACAATTTTAATGAAATTTCTCGAAAAATGTAATTATTCGTTAAAATTTTATTAAAATTCATCAAAGAAATTCAATTATTTTAAAAAGCCTTCCTACAATTTATTTATTAGAATTTAAGTATTATTGTCAATACATTTTTAATTCAATTTCTTGAAAGAATTCAATTATTTTCACAAACTTTAATGAAATTCAATTTTTTTTTCAAAAATTCTCATCCATCAGTCAATAATTTTCAATATCTATACTATTTTAATAAAATTTTTCAAAATAAATGAATTATTTTAAACAATTTTTATAAATTTCTTCGCAATAATTCTATTATTTTCAAAAATATTCAATTTAAGTTTACAGAGATTCAATTATTTTTATAAGTATGTAATAAAATTTTTTTAGAGGGATTCAATTATTATTTTCATAAATAATAAAACTTATTGCAGAATTTCTATTATTTTTGATACAATTTTAATCGAATTCCTCGAAAAATGTAATTATTCTTAAAATTTTATTAAAATTCGTCAAAAGAATTCAATTATTTAAAAATTTGTTAATAAAATTCTTTATGAGAATTCAATTTTGAGAAACATTTAATTATTCAATTAATTGTTTATTTTTGTATTAAAAATAATTAGGTATTTAAAAAGAAATAATATTTAAAAATTCGTCTCAAGAATTCAATTATTTTAAAAAATTGTAATAAAATTCTTGAGAGAATTTCAATTATTTTTAATATTAAGCAAGTTTTTCGCAGAAATTCAATTATTTTATATTCAAAAAAATTTGCAATTATCTTTATAAATAATTAAATTCATTTCCGAAATTCAATTATTTTAAAAAACTGTAATAAAATTCTTGTCAGAATTTCAATTATTTCTAAAAGTAAGAAAATTCTTGGCAGAAATTCAATTATTTTCAAAAAATCTAAAAAAATTATCAAGATTTTAATTATCTTTAGAAATAATTAAATTAATCTCCGAAATTCAATTATTTAAAAAAAAACTGTAATAAAATTCTTGGGAGGATTTCAATTAATTATAAAAATTCTAATAAAATTCTTGGGAGAATTTTAATTATTTTTAAAATTAAGAAAATTCTTCGCAAAAATTTAATTATGTTCAAAAATTTTGAAAAATTCTCATCAAAATTTCAATTATAATTAAATTCATTTCCGAAATTCAATTATTTTAAATAATTGTAATAAAATTCTTGGCAGAATTTTAATTATTTTTAAAAGTAAGAAAATTCTTCGCAGAAATTCAATTATGTTCAAAATTTTTTTTAAATTCTCATCAATATTTCAATTATCTTTAGCAATAATTAAATTCATTTTCTAAATTTAATTATTTAAAAAAATTTCAATAAAATTCTTGACAAAATTTCAATTATTTTTAAAAACTTTTCTCAATTCAATCAAATTTTTTTTAACAGAGATTCAATTATTTTCAATACATTTTTAATCTAATTTCTCGAAAAATGAAATTATTCTTAAAATTTTTTATTGAAATTCGTCAAAGGAATTTTAATTTCCTATTTAAAAATTTGTTGATAAAATTCTTTAAATGAGAGTTCAATTTTAAAAAACATTCAATTCTTCAATAAATTATTTTTTTTCGTATTTAAATAATTGAAATGTCGTAGAATTTTCTAATAATAATTGATTCAATTATGAATTTTAGTTAAAATTTTAGATAATAATTGAGTTTTGAAAAGGTTTCAAATAATCTTTGAATGTTTGAATTTTTCGTACTTTTAACTTAAAATTGTGTAGATTTAATTTTTTTGTAAAAGTTAAATTGAATTTTTTTGAAGTTATTTCAAGTTTTTATTTTCTAATATATATTTGATTGAAGAATTTCCGAATACCTGAATAATCGACGATGAAATTTCGTAAAATTGAATTGTAAACAAGAGGATTTGAAAATGTTGAAAGAAATTTTTCGGAAATTATTAATAATAATTAATTTACACTTTATAAAGAAGAATTTTAGTTAAAAATTCCAGAAAACAATAATTTAATTAAAATAATGAAAGTAATTTTGAATAAGTTAGAGTAACAATATTCTTATAATATAAAATGATGATTTTATCAGTCCAACATTTTTAATTATTATAAAACATGAAGATATCGATTGCATTGGAGTGATTGATATTTTTATGTTTTATAACAATTTTTTCTAAGTTGTTTAATTTCAAAAAGGTTAGAATTAAAAATTTTGGAAAATATAAATGTAGTTTTAAAAACCTGGAAAAGTTCTGTTTTTTAAACTGGAGAATCTGGAAAAGTCAGGGAATTTAAAAAAATGAGCAAAAGCGTGGCAACCCTGTAAGGATAAGTTTAACATAATGTTTAAAGAAATTGAACCGCCGGCTATTCCAGAGGCCAATGAAAACTTCGCGTAAGACCTTTTGGTTAATAGAAAGGTTTTGGATTAGTTTGGTTTGGTTGTTATGGTTGATAGAAAATCGATTTCCCGTTGCAATAAATTGATCGTGTGAAAATTAATATGCAGATCTACTTTCAGAATAATATTAATTAGTGTATAAATTTTTGAACAAACCTGTCGTAATCTGTGAGACGGGATGAATCTCGGAACCCCTTAGCGAACGGATTACTGTCGATCTTTAACTTTGTGATCTGAAAGAAGAAATTCATTCATCATTATAATCACCACTGGTTTTAATAAATTCGAGCAATATATTTAAGCGTCTATATATATGCAACGTGAAAAAAAGGAGAGAGAGAGAGAGAGAGTAATTTTTATCCCGATTGGATTAATTATATATTCAAATGTGTAGGTATTGCTAATTACTTTGGCAATTAATCTTCGATGTGTATATACATTTTGTCCTTGCCGTATATATAATTGGCAGTTAATAGCCTTCCACAAAGTATATTTATTTATAAATTGGGTCCTTTTTGCTTTTATTTTAGTTTCTGTAAAATTATACACATATTATGTTATATTATATATACGTACCAACTGATTCTGGTAAGCGGTCACCGCCGTGAAAATTGCTTCTGGGAAAATAAAAGTCTTGTGCTCCTCTTTCTGCAGGTCCGTGATCTGATGATTACTGTTATTTCGACATCGAACCAAATGTATCCTGGGCTGATATCGATGCATCGAATTTAGGATAATCTGCAATCATATTATAAATTTTCGTTTAGTGCGGTGTTTAATTGCAATTTTGACCAATCTTAACCCTTTAGAGGGCCAGTAAATTTACATAATCTTTAGTTGAACTTGAACATAATTGAATTTCTGCGCGAAGAATTTTCTTATACTTTTAAAAATAATTGAAATTTTCTTAATGGAACGTTAAAGTTAAAGCCCAATTGATTTCAAGATATACACGAGAAAGAATGAAATGAAAATGAAAATGTAAATATTGACAAGCCATCAGAGAAATGTTAATGGTGTTAACATCGTTTGGAAGTAAGTTATCCAATTGGAGATGCGTGACAGGTTTATCAGATGCCGGGTGCACGTTTAGGTACCAAAAGCCAAACGGTTTCGTGCGCTCTCTCTCGGCTTTCGGCAAACGGGATAGAAGTAAAAGCACGGTCAAAGGGGGTTTGCGAGAAAGGGAACCACATCGGAAAGTCTATATACTCCGTATAGCCACCTGCACCCGTTACAAGTTTCTTCGCAGTCGCGGTTCAAGAGCAGCCGCCTTCATATTTCATATTAGCGATAATAAGAATCCAACAATTTTATAATGTACATACCGCAGTATGCGGCGCATTTTTTCCACTATATCTATCTTCAAATTTCATTCCTCCGTTATTTTTTTAATCCACTTTATTTTTTTCCAATCAATAAAAGACACCTGTATAGAGAGGTAACTACATCGTATTAATTTTGAGGAAATTCGATAAAGTTTTTTGATAAATTAGGTCGAATGTAATTTCTCGGCAAGTAAATAAACAAGAGTGTAACGAATGGTGTTTATTTATATCTGATCCGACTGATTATTATATAAGTGTATTTAATTCTGCTATCGAAAATAAGAAGCTAAGTCGCATAGACGCTAAACGACTTTCGACTTATACCCACGTCGAAAAATTCCATGGAAATACCCCCTGGAAATTCCATGGAATTTCCGTAGAGTTTCCATAAAAATTCTGCAAGATTTTTATTTTAAAAATATTTTAACAGTTCCAGAGTTTTCATATATGAAAACTCTGACCTGTAGGTCAGGGAAATGTCAGGGATTTTTATAAAAGTACTAAAAAAAATTGAATTTTGGAGAAGTTTTATGGTAAGTGTACCAATTGCCGAGGGTGTTCCATTTGTCGATGTTACCATGGTAATAACCAAAAAATATTGTCTAAAATGTCTCATTTGTTTGTTTATATAATATTAATATATTTTTTTTACATTTATAACGCATAAAAAAATTAATATTTATTACTTTTTTTCATTTACAATGTGCTACACTGTTTAAATAAAATTCAAAGTTTGTTTACTCGACAACAGGAACCATCCTCGACAATTGGTACGTTTACCCTATAAATGATTGCAGAAATTCAATTATTTTCAAAAGTAAGAAAATTCTTCGCAGATATTCAATTATGTTCAAAAAATTTTTTAAATTCTTGTCAAAATTTCAATTATTTTTTGAAATAATTAAATTTATCTCTTAAATTCAATTATTTTCAAAAAATTGCAATAAAATTATCGGCAAAATTTCAATTATTTTTAAAAGTAAGAAAATTCTCCGCAAAAATTCAATTATATTCAAAACATTTTTTAAATTCTTGTCAAAATTTCAATTGTTTTTAGAAATAATTAAATTTATCTCCGAAATTCAATTATTTTAAAAGAAAAAAAAATTCTTCGCAGAAATTCAATTATTTTCAAAAAATCTAAAAGAAAAATTGCCGTCAACGTTTCGATTATATTTAACAATAAGTAAATTCTTCTCCGAAATTCACTTATTCTCAAAAAAAATTGTAATAAAATTCTTGTCAGAATTTCAATTATTTTTAAAAGTAAGAAAATTCTTCGCAGAAATTCAATTATATTCAAAATTTTTTTTAAATTCTCGTTAAAATTTCAATTATTTTTAAAAATAAGTAAATTTTCATCTCCGACATTAAATTATTTTCAAAAAATTGTAATAAAATTATTGGTAAAATTTCAATTATTTTTAAAAGTAAGAAAATTCTTCGCAGAAATTCAATTATATTCAAAAATTTTTTTAAATTCTCGTTAAAATTTCAATTATTTTTAAAAGTGAGAAAATTCTTCCCTGAAATTCAATTATATTCAAAAGTTTTTTTAAATTCTCGTTAAAATTTCAATTATTTTTAAAAATGAGAAAATTCTTCGCAGAAATTTAATTTTATTCAAAATTTTTTTTAAATTCTCGTTAAAATTTCAATTATTTTTAAAAATAAGTAAATTCATCTCCAAAATTCAATTATTTTCAAAAATTGTAAGAAAATTCTTCGCAAAAAATTCAATTATTTTCAAAATTTTTGTTAAATTCTCGTCAAAATTTCAATTATTTTTAGAAATAATTAAATTTATCTATAAAATACAATTATTTTTAAAAGAAAGGAAAATTTTTAGCAGAAATTCAATTATTTTAAAAATTTCTTAAAAATTTTCGTTAAAATTGCAATTATTATTAGAAATAACTAAATTATTCTCCGAAATTCAATTATTTTAAAATTATTTTCATAAATAATATTTTCAACCGAGATTCATTTATTTAAAAATTTGTTTATAAGATTCTTTATGAGAATTGAATTTTAAGAAACATTCAATTATTCAAAAAAATTATTTTGTTTTTGGATTTATATAATTTAATTCTCGTAGAATTATCTAATAAAAATTGATTTAAAATTGAATTTCAGTTAAAATGTAATTATTCTTAGAAATTTTATTGAAAGTGGTAGGAAGAATTCAATTATTTAAAAATTTTGTTGCATAAAATTCTTTATTAGAATTGAATTTTAAAAAACATTGAAGTATTCAATAAATTATTTATTTTTATATTTAAATAATTGAATAATTCTAGTAGAATTTTCTAATAAAAAATTCATTTAAAAATGAATTTCAGTTAAAATTTTAGATAATATAATTAAATATCAAAAGCATTAGAGCGTGAAGTTTTAGAAATAATTGAATTTTGAAATTAATTTTTTTGAAAAAAGTTTAATTGAATTTTTTTTTATATTATTTGAAGTTTTTATTTTCTAATATTTTTAATTGAAGAATTAGCAAATAATTGAAATTCGTAAAATTTAATATTGTAATCAAATGGATTTGAAAATTGTTATGAAAAAATTTAATTTATACTTTTAAGTAAAATGTTCTCTTATTTGACTCGGACTGGTTATATTTTTGGCAATGGTCCGTAAATGGTCTGTAATTTTTCATTTTTGGTCCGTAAGGTCCGTATTTTTCATTTTTGGTTCGTAAAGTCCGTATTATTTCATTTTTTGTCCGTAAAGTCCGTATTTTTAAATACTTATTCACTGGTTTGAGCTCTTCATTAATAAATTTAGCATATTTTTAATTTGGCTAATAGTTAACGATTCAATAACCCCCTATGGTACAATTAATAAGCGGGACAGTTTATTACCGCGCAATTATTACAAATATACAGAAAGAAGTGAATTCTCACGATTTTGGTGTATAAAGTTGAATAATACAGATGTAATATTTGGTTGATGTATGAAGGCTTTGGAATATTGCTCGCGAGGGCTTTTTAATTCACATGTGACGTAAATGAAGTTGAAAATAATGCCGAGAGGCACGTTTTGGCGATAAAAATTGATTTAATCGCTTCTTCGGAATAGCATTAGGACGTATGTGATATATATAAATCTGGTGAGGTGATTTTACACGTATATCAATTTACATGATTATACGGTAGCGTGTTCTAATTACAGTTTACTTGTGAGGTTTTTGAGTTGCCGTCATATTGTATATATACGTATATATGTGTCACAGGCTCACATGTATTTTATATATACTTCTTACATACACGATGACGCTCAATTTAGTCGATTTATAAAACGAGATGTTTAACGTTCGTGCACCCATCAATCTAATATATACCTATGACGTTTTTATACTTCATTTACGTAAAGTGTCATTATCGATCATTTCCATCTGTAATCGGACGTATACTTTTTTTCGAAGAGCTGACATTATTTTTGTTTATCTCAATTTGACAAGTGGGCATTATTTTGGTTCATCTGATTTCAGGATATGAAACTAAATGTGTATGGCTATATGCATTTAAATGTGTAAATGTGAACGAAAATGTGTACATGTGAACCAAAATATGTACATGTGAACTTAAATTTGTATATATTTGAACGTAAATAGGTACATGTGAACGTATATTTTTATATGTGAATCTATATTTACATATGTGAACGTATATTTGTATATGTGAACTTAAATATGCATATGTGAATGTAAACTTGTATATGTGAATGAATATTTATACATATGTGAACGTATATTTGTATATGTGAACTTAAATATGCATATGTGAATGTAAACTTGTGTATGTGAACGTATATTTCTATATGTGAACTTAAATATGCATATGTGAATGTAAACTTGTATATGTGAACGTAAATGTGCATATGTAAACTTAAATGTGTATATGTGAACGAAAATGCGTAAAGAATAAGCACATGTGCTACATAAAAAATAAATTCAGAAAATGATTCAGTTTACAATTTGATTATATTTTTGATTATAAAGAGTTAAAAACAGAATTTTCTTCAGTTTTCCACATTTCTTCATGAACGGAACAAATATTTTATATAGATGTAATCATAATAGGCGTAGTGATAAATACAGTGTTAGGTAAAATATTTGTTCTTTAGAGATAAACAATCTCTAAATGTGCGGTAGAGAAAAAGCAAAGTTAGTTTTCCGATTATGGAGAATAGTTTCAGTAAAAATAATAATACATAATCTCGTCGTAATTCATGAGCGATAAGAGACATCATCGAGATGCCATTAGGATATATCGAGATGGAGGAATCATATTGCGAGAAGGCAGAAACAATCGGTAATTATCTGCTTGTATAGTTTATCGGCTTCCTTTCATCCAGGATCACTGATGATCATTTACGTGTATTTACATCTACGTATATATGTTC